GCGATAAGTTACCGATAGAGAGTTTGCGTTCCAGAACTGTCACTCGATTTGGAGCACAGGTGTGGACACCGAACATGCACTTGTATGTGCTGACCTGTGGAGGAGTTTTGGTAGACGCCCAAGACGACGCTGTGAGCGTATTGACACCGGCCAACTGACGAAACCAGCTGTTCTGGATGCCTATCAAAGTACGCTGAGATGCCAGTTGAGTAAGCGCTCACCGGATGCAGTTGAAGCTCACTGGTCTCATATTCACCAGTCCTTACTAGCAGCAAGAAAATCCTCATGTGGTAAGTCTAATCGCTAACATGGACATTGGGTCTCTTCGCAGTCTCAGGAACTTATCGATGCTCGCCGGCATATTCCGGCTGGAAACGAACACAACGAGACTCGCAGAAAGCTCCGGGCGGAACTCCGTGCCAGCCTGAAGAGAGACCGCGAATCCTGGTGGTCTCATCGTGCATCAGAGATGGAAATGGCCGCTGCCCTTGGCAACCATCATACGTTATTCCGGTTGATACGAGAAACGGGCAGCAGGAGACTTGGTGTTAGTGAAACTATACATGACGAGAGTGGACAGCCTATGCACAACTTGCCAAAACGCTTGGATCGTTGGGCTGAGCACTTTGAAAGGCAATTTAACCGGTCGGAGTTGTCAGATTTTTCGCCCGCCACTGATCGCCCTGCTCCATGGGCTGTCCATTTGGATTCTCCCTCCCACTCAGAAGTCGAACGTGAGATCGAACTGTTGAAGTTAAATAAAGCCGCGGAACCAGATGATCTTCCTCCATCACGCTTCAAATTCGGGGGACCTGCTCTTGTGGATGATTTATACGAGTTACTATTGAAACAGTGGGAACAAACAACTGTCCCAACCGACTGGAGCCGCTCCGTCATAGTCCCTATTTTCAAGGGAGGCTCACGATCGGAGTGCGGCAACCATAGAGGAATCAGTCTGCTCTCCATCGTCTCCAAATTGCTTGTCTCTGTCGTTCTTCACAGACTGACTGGCACTCGTGAAAGCCATATTCGTGAAGAGCAAGCCAGATTTCTTCGTGGTCGTGGCTGCATTGACCACATCTTCAATTTCGTCAGTTGTCGGAGCACCGTCACATATATCTGTGGCCCACCGTTGTCGTGTTCCTCCATATCAAAGGTGCATTCGATTCGGTGAATAGACGTGCCTTTGGACTTGTCTAGTCAGAAAAGATATACCCGAGAAATATGTAAATATTATCCGAGCATTATACGCGCGTAGCTCAGGCAGAGTGAGGGCTTACAGCAAGCTGTTGCCAACCTTCAGTATCTCCAGCGGTGTGAGACAATGATGCCCGCTGTCACCTTTCCTCTTCAACTTTGCTACTGATGAAGTCATGGAAATCGCCTTTACAGGACAGGACTTAGAAGGTATGGATCTGCTCCCAGGAGAACGACTTCTTGACTTAGAGTATGTTGACGATATTGCCCTAATCTGTGACAGCTCACAAACGTGCCGAGCTGCATTGGACAGATTAACACTGGCTGTCAGCCGCTTCAGGCTTTACTTTGCGCCATCGAAGTGCGAAGCGTTCCTCCGAGATTGGCCTGGACCACCTCCTTCACTGACCCTCGGTGGGGATCAGCTAGTAGTCGTACAAAAATTCAACTACCTGGGAAGTTGTATCAGCGCCCGTGAGATTGAAGATGAGATCACGAACCGTATAGCAAAACCTCGAGGCGCTTTTGCCAACCTTCGCCAATTATGCCGCCGGCGCGACATCATTCTCGCCCTGAAGGGTAGAGTGTACAATGCAGCGGTACGTTCGACCCTACTGTACGGTTGTGAAACCTGGCCCCTTAGATCAGCGAACATAAAGAGGCTAGTTAGGTTCGACCACCGGTTCCTTCGCAAATTGGTTTACGTCTGGTGGGAACACCGAGTAATCATTAAGCGTGTTCGACACCTTTTTTACATTGCAGGTAAAGGAAATGAACCGCTTAGCACCGTTACTTCACGCAGCCGGCTCCGATGGCTCGGCCACGTGGTACGCATGCCAGTTCACCGACTCCCGCGACATGCGTTGTTCGCTCATTGGGGATGTGGATGAAAGAAGAGGAGAGGTGGCAAGCGGTGACTTGGTCGAGAGGAATGAAGACCCTCACTTTGAAGCTGGCCTCGGTTGGAGCTTCGCGTCCCCCTGGTTGGTGTCCGCTAGGCGAGAAACACGTTTGGCTGGATACACTTGCTAATATGGCTTGGAGCCGATCTCAATGGCGTTCTTGCTCCGAGTTTCTTTCTCCCACCTCATCCCTCTTAGCCTCCCCCTCCAACTACGATCTCATTATTTAACATTTAATGATTTTGCATACTAAATTGTTTTTTTCTGGTGCATAGTAGGCAGCTGGTATCCTACGGGAACCATGCCCATCCGTTACCGGTAGCTCAGCTGGCTTGTACCTTTTGCATTTTATTCCCTCATTTTCTTTTAGGTATTGCAGCAGAGTAGCTGAGGTGTTTCGCGCCTCTAGCTAACGTGTATGTTGTGTGTGTGTGTGCATTTGCAAAGTTGACGTAACACCGATGAGTAATTTACACAGGCGCGTTGACTGATGGCTGAACACTTTCGCACTCAATTCAGTTGGCCTCTTCCGCCGGCAAGTCTAACGAGTATACCTGGTTGCGCGCCTTCGAACGTCTCACTGGAACGAACCACAGAAGCTGGTGTCTGCCTTGAGCTCCGATATATGAGACGATTCAATTTTGCTGACCCAGACGGACTTTCTCCGAAGCTGTTCTAGTTCGATAGCGAAACAATTGTCAACCAGCTTACAGCTCTGCTCTCTAAGATCTGGTGTGTAGATACAGTTCCATCCGCTTGGTGCGAGCCAATTATCATCCCGGTCTTCAAGAAAGGTGCCTGTACATTATGTGCTGATCACCGAGGAATCAGTCTTATCTTCCTTGCCTCTAAGCTGTTACTATCCATTCTACTTCGCAGACTAACCCCGATTCGATAATTGCGCCCATGTGAAGAACAGGCTGTTTTCCGCCCCAACCGAGGGTGTTTAGACCGCCTGTTTACGCTCCGCCAACTCCTTGTAACGCGTCATCTTTACCACCGATTTTGGTTACGCTGGTGCTATTGCCTTGCTTTTTCTTGACGCACAGAGCACACAGGCCGTTCTAAGCCGCTTGGCAACTAAAGCATCAGAATATGGCATGACTGCCCCTACGAAATCCATAGTTCTGCTCCTTGATTGACATCCATCTGCCTTCATGCTCACTCTCCAAGGTACGCAACTTGAACAGGTGGACACATTTTTTACCTAGGAAGTTGTATCTCTACTGATGGTATAATTGGAAGTGAGATTTCACTCCGTATTGCCAATGTCCGTTCAGCGTTCGCCAACCTTTGGCATCTGTGGCGATGCCCTGACGTTTCGCTATTAGTATAGGGTAGCATCTACAGTGCCTGTGTTCGCGCGGTGCTGTTGTATGGGAGTGAGTGCTGGCCGATTCGTGTGAATGACTTGTGTCGGATTTCGGCCTTTGACAGTGGATGTCTGCGGAGAATAGCTGGAGTGTGGTGGATGAAGCACGTTTGCAACAACTATGTTAGACATCGCGTCTTGGGTAACACGGAACTTCTACTTTATTGTCTGGTACCGTTGCGCCAGCTGAGATGGCTGGGCCGCGTTTTTCACATGCCATACGAACGGCTGCCCCGACGTGCTCTCTTCACCAGCACAGCATCAGACTGGAAGAAATCGCGCGGTGGTCAGCCTATCACATGGCGACTAACGATTAAAGCGCTGACTTTCCGTTTTGTTGTCGTAGGTTCCATGCGTCTTCCTGGCTTGGGAATCAACGAAAAATCACCGTTGCCTGGAAACTCTTTCGTACATCGCTCAGTATCGGGTCTAATCGAAAATGTGTATAAATATGTATCTCGGCATTAAACAGACAAAAAGCGGCGTGTGAGAAGAAGCAAAAACGCGCAACAAGAAGAAGGAAAAACTTCTGAGTCTTTCATCCTTATTTTCTTCGTTGTGGTCTCTGTAATGATCACTTCCATTAAATGGTTTTGCTGGCTCCATGTCTATCTTATAGACTGCTGCTAATATACAAATATATATTTATATACATTTGCTGATTCTAGTAGCGACAAATCTTCTTCAATCGATATTCATATAGTTCGCATTCGCTGATGTTTGCTTCCCACTCGGATGGAGTCTTTGGGATGGATCACACTGGTTAACAGAGGCCCTACTTGCCGTGTCGCTGCTGTAGTTTGTCCACTCCATCTCCCGTTTATACGTGTTCGGCAGTCTCACCGTACGATTCTAGCATATTGCTATTACTTCTTCGGTTCTTGGTTCTTTTATTCTTGACAAAGCGAGGCACGCCTTTGCAGACATGATCATATTGAGATAACAAAGCGTGATCAGACATGTACAAAATACAACCTGTTTGCCGTAACAGTGAATATTTGTGTAGGGGTATGTATATCCACGTACTTGCGTATGTGTGTAGCTACGTAATTTCTGCTTGTAAGTGTGCCGCTGCATCCTTAGCCGTTTGATAGCGTCAGCAATGTAAAATAGATGATTAATGTTCGTGACTTGGATAGGATTATCAGTATATTCACGCGGCAGTGACTTGAGTTTGTGGCTTGTCACGACCGCCACGTCACAGTGTTGATAAACAGACATTTGTAGCCTTTTATAATGATAACGCTTGCCAAGCGAAAACCCACCACGTCCTGGAAACCTGCCGCCGAACTATTTGCTGGAAAGGATTTAACCCGGACCACCCAGCTGGCACCACGAGGTTGTTCGGCTAGCCAGTCTGTGTTGCTTGTGTCACCATATAAGATGACTAGATGTGTGGCACTTCAGTTCCTGATCATATGTGATTCGCAAATTGAACTAAACATGTCCATGCATTTTTCGTGTTCATTCAATGGTCTGTCATCTGTCATTTGCTTCTATGCACCTTAATCCTCTCCACTCGTATTTCAGTCATGACTACAGAAATGGATTGGAAGAAGCTCGTGCGTCCCGACGATGTTGTCATTGTGGCCTCCCGACGAAGTCCTGTTGGTCGCATGTCTGGTTGTCTATCTGGCTTATCTGCACATCAATTGGGAGCACAAGTTATCGACGCAGTGTTAGCTACTGCTTCGAGGCTATCATCTGATCCTTCCAGTATGAAGGAGTACATTATACACCACCTTGAGGAGGTCATTGTTGGCCAGGTTTTCACTGCATCCACGGGGCAAAACCCTGCTAGGCAAGCTGCAATTCTATCAGGCGAGTTACTTGCGAGTTTCTAACTCAAAATATCTTGAAGATACATCAGAACGATGTTGTTGGCACATTCTTTAGCAGTTAAATATCAGGTATTACTCCTTCGCAACTCTGCACTTCAGAACGGTTTTTGTGTCTGCACTCATCTGGTAGAGATAGCAGAATTTCGACTCTACCCTGGGACTTGGAGACTATCAGTCGTGCATTTTACTACTACATCATCGTGTCGCGGGCACTGCTTGTCAAAACGGTTAGCAACTAATTATGAGTTCATTTAAAGCACCAGTTTTGTGTATGCATTGCTACATAGCCTCAATTTCGACCACGATTAAGTTTGAAGTGACTCTCAGTCAGTTCGATCACGGGAACCTTGTCAGAAGGAGATACGAGACCGGTCGTGAGTTGCATTGTTCGAGCGAGCAACGCTTAACATTTGAATAATATGACGCCACCGTTGGATGTACTGGCTCGTTAAAAACCTTATACTTACAAGTTCGTAACAGTTTTGGGTCGAACAGGACGTGAATCTGACAGCTTACGATCGAATGTACGTATGAGCACTCGAAGATGATAGAAACTGAGTACTTTGGCAATAACTACTGACCCGATGGGCATCCGCTTTCTGCTTCCGAGGAAAGAATATCCTAGACAACCACAGTACTTTTGCAGGCAGAAGGCCCACATGCGTCTTCTGAGATCAGATCACCCGTCTAGACGGAAATCGGTCCATTTCAATATAAACTAGGTTACCGGGTTTTCAGCACTCTGGACCTCTGCTACGGGCTGTAAGATTGCCCGACCGCTCCGAAGATACTGTGACTCACATCCATGTTTCGTACTTCTAATCCTACGTGTCTGTGCTTGGTTTTATATGCACGGCATCTCAGATTATCGTGGGAGCATGCGTTATATCAAAAGGGGCGGACTGATATCGGTACTAAAGTAGCAGTTACAATCCGTACCACAGCTTTCACCGGCCGATCACTTCGGCATTTTACACAACCAGTTGGAAGAGAGTTAGTTTTTTCCAACCATCCAATGAAAGTGAGTGTAGCACATGGGCTTCAATCGGCCACCCCTCTTTCGCCAGAAAGGCAACGTAACGTGGCTTGGTATCGATCGACAGTCCTCGATGGTCTGGTGGAATGGCGAAGCAGGCTTCACATTTTGGTGATTTTCCCTGGTGTGGTTGGGTCCATGATCCGTGTGGAGCCGACGTGCGTTAACGATCAGCCTGTTTTCTAATCGCTAATTCCCCAGGCCAAGTCTGTGCGTGATAGCACAGGCAGGCCTTTTGGCGTGACCGTTTTAACCGCGAAAGTCTGTTCCAGGCTGCATAGCAGACGATCTGACACAGCGGTTTTCATAAGGTGCTGCGTGATCTGAATCTTCGGCACGTCTCAGATCACAGGTTGTATCCAGCACTTAGTTTAGTGCGTAATTGTCTTCCTGACATTAGCTCCGCCGGTGTTCTTCCGGTAGCTCTGTGATCACAACCTCTAGGAAAATACAGCGGTGAGAACATGATTATCCCAGTTTGGCGCTCTTTATTCAATGACCTGCATGGTTTCATTGAGGGATCGGTTCAGCTGCTTGACCATACCATTGGCCGCTGGATTGTAGGGTGCAGTTCTGGAATGTTTTATGTTATGGCACTGGAGGGAAGCTGTGAAGTTGTTGCTATAAAACTGTGGTCTATCAATCGTCACACGCCCTTCCGGTGGACTTAAGGCCACTTAGTGTAAAAATGTAGAGAAGGCACCAGCAGTACGCCGGTACGCAGCACCGACGCCTCACTGCCGCACAACCACTACCGGTTGCACGTAGACCTAGGATTGAGGATCACCCTGACCCCACGCAGGCTCGAACCCGCGCTCTGCGATTACAAGGCAGGTTTGTGATCCTTAAGACTACTTGCCAGCGGTAAAAACATGTAGCCCTATTCGTAGGAGCGTTGGCGAAAGGACCCATAATATCAATGGCGATCTTAGCCCACGAATTCATCGGGTAAGTTACCAGCGATATCGGGGCTGCTACCGGCGGGAACCCTTGTTCCGTAATCGGCAAGCGTTGCAGTTCATCATAATTATTTCAATGCTAGATGCCGTTCGTGGCCACGAAATGTAAAGTTTCGCTTGAGTTTTGTTCCGAACGACACCTGAGTGTATCATGTGAACAAGCGATCACTTTTTCGCCAACTGTGTTGGATCTACAAACAACGAAGCAAGCGTCAGGCAACCATCCATCACTGAAAGTTCGTCTCGAATTGCGTACTGCGGAGTGAACTCACCTGGAACTTTGTTGTTCTTGGGCCACTTCTGTTGCACACACCCACTGAGTTGATGTAGTATCGAGTTATTGGCGTTTTCCACTCACAATTCATCGATCGTCAATGTAGATAGATCGGATCCAAGGCTGGAAACCAATGCTGTCTCTCTTTGTCATTTTCCAGCTTCACGAGAAAGCGAGATAATCCAGGAACAAATTAATTTCGCCAACCCCCACGGTAAACAGTCTGAAAATCGTAGTTAAGATGTCAGCCGTCAATTCGCATTGGATTTGATCCTTTAGCTTCATTGCTGAGAAGGGCTTTAAGGGTGGAATGGTCATTTTGTAGAGCAGAACGACGACTGAACAGAAAACGATGCCATTTTTCACAAGCAAGGGTTTATTTCTCCCCAGCTGAATAATGGCGCTCAGAATCTGATGGCTTCCGTTATGCGTAAACGATAACACTCTTCTCTCCATTTTGCAACTGTGAGAGAATCGCACCGAGACCAACATCAGACGCATCAGTCAACCAAAAAGTGCGGCATGACTCATCCAAAATGGCAACTAAAAAGCATTTTACTATTTGCTTCCCTAAACGAACGAGAATCCTTTCTTTAGTAAGTCGAAAATTCCCATTTCATTATCAAGAACGAAAGACCGAGGGTGAACAATTGTTTTCGATGATTCATCTTCAGACCTGTACAATCATATGGTTGAAATCGCAATAGGAAAGTACAAGGGGATTAACGATCAGTTCAAATGAGATAGATCACGTGTCGATCAAAGACATGAACCAGTAACAAACAGCAAACTAGGTCTGAGGTACCGTTGCACAATTGCAGTTGCTGTCCGAAGGATCCGTTTTGGCTGGCCAAGGTAGCTGAACAGCTTCGATCAGCTTCTTTTGTGCACACAAAAGAGGTTGGTACAACCGAATGCTGATCGCCTCGGCAGTAGCAAGGGTCCGGAGGCGCAGGCCTTTCGACTGGAGTGGAGGGACCCTGTACAGTATTCGGAAGGCACTGACTGGGTCAACCTCATGCCCACTATCAACCAGATGAGCCATAACTGAGCTAGTTATAGCTCCAGTACCACCTCGACGCAACCAACGTGGTAGGTGCTCCTTAATGCGTTTCGAAAGTTGCCGCGCCGTTCGACCGATGTAAGTAGCGCCACAAGCGCACTTGAACTGATAAATTACCATAGAAGCGGTCAGCGTCGGTAACTTGTCTTTGTTGTAAATACGGATGAGTGGCTCCGTGGAAAAGGTACACCTAAGCTTGGCTGCTGGAAAAGTTGACTTGACAGCTGTTGAAAGGCTTCTAGTTACACGCTCAGCAGCGGCGTCTCCCTTGAAGGGTAGTCGTATGAAAAGTTCTTTTTTCTCTGCTGTCTGAACCTGTAACTGGTCGGGCTTACTTTGCATGTTCCTAAAAATGAAACGATCAGGATATCCGTTTTCGCGCAGCAAATTCTGAATGAGCGTCAACTCATTATCCAACTTGTCTTCAGAACAGATCCTGTGGGCCCTTGTGGTTAGACAGCGAATTAGGTTTCGCTTATATCTCAGCGGAACGAAACTGTGAAAGTTCGTATACTGGCCACTCCAGGTTTTCTTCCTGTAGACTTGCCGTTGGATCGAGCCGTCTGCCCTTCTAGTTAACAGCACATCAAGGAACGGCAACTGATCGTTCAATTCCTTTTCGTAGGTGAACTGCAATGATCCGTGGGCCCGATTAAAGCGGTCAATAACAGCGTCAAGATCAACAGACTGGTCGGCCACGACAAATATGTCGTCCATATAGCGGTGGTAACATTCAAAGGCCGTGATCTCCTCATGTAACTTGGTATTCTCTAATTTCGCCATGAAGACATCAGCTAACAACGGACCCAATGGCGATCCCATAGCTACACCATCCTTTTGTCGGTAGTAAGTGCCATTGAATAAGAACTGTACGTTCCAAGTGCAACGCAAAAGAAGGCTTTTCAAGTCACGCAATGGTATGCATATACTTGCTTTTGTTTCTTCTATGTAGGAACAAAGATAATCGATCGTCTCGAAAAGTGGCACGTTGGTGAAAAGCGATACAACATCCAAGGAAAACATTACTTTCTTATCGATGTTGCGATCTTTGATGCTTTCGATGAAATGAAAGGTGTCACGAAGGCTGTAGTGTGTAAGTCGCTGTCTTACTGGCTCTAGAATTTCCACAAGCCATTGGGCGACGGCATGGTAGGGTGAATTAACCATTGATAAGATCGGGCGAAGCGGGATACCTGTCTTATGAATTTTTGGTAACCCATAAAGTCTCGGGACATTCGTGCCACTCGGCTTCAGGCTATCATAAAGTGTATTTGATATATGTCCATTATTCCGAAGATCTCGCAAGCTTTTAATAATTTGGTTTTCAATCCTCTCTGTCTGGTCCTTTTCTCCAATCATTCGGGAAAATTTCGATTCGTCACTCAGAACCTTTTCGAGCTTGTTTATATAGTCTTCTTTATCCAACAGAACGACTCCAGTACCCTTGTCCGGTCTGCTCAGAACGATCTTACCATTGCGTCGTAAATCCTTCAGCGCGTCAAGGTGCTTGCGTGTCAGTGGACCGTGAGTGTGGACATGGCACTTGCGATACTGGTAGCAGGTGTTCACTAAAGAACACTTAAAGCGTTCCAGGTCTTCATTTGACTTAGCTACTAGCCCTTTTGTTTGGCCAAACAGGCTTTCAAAC